TTCAAAATGTGTAGCCAGATACCATAGAATCTCCTTTCGCGCCGGTAATTTGTGTTCTTCTCCTATCTGCATTATGCCATGTAAGATTTCGTTACAACTAAAAAAAGTGTAAATTAAAATAGTTATTTGTTTGACGATATACTCACCACTCTATCAAGATCCTTGGATCCATAGCGCATCCACTGCATGACGTGCACACCACACTCAGTACTATTCCTTTGCCGTTGAACTCGTAGCTCATCAAAATTGAAATCTCCAAAATTTGGTACTCCTACATTGCTCATGCGATCCGGTTTGAAAATATCATCCAAATTGGACAACTACACACAAATAATGAATATTTTAAGTTTCTAGCATCATACGTGACGCTTAACAGTCAGAAAATTATAGAAAACACTTACCAATTTCTTGCATAGTGCTGATTTATGCCTACGATTCGCCTCACTAGTTGAAGGTAGACTGTCAAGCAAAAATGCAGTTTTTTGCTGGACATTGACGAGATACAGAAACCAATGACGTGCTTCATCCTCAAGAACTGGCATAAATATCTAGCAACGAAACACTCACTATATGTTATAAACAGCGAATACAAACAAATGCACTTTCGAAATTTAATGATATAATGACATTGACTAGACTAACCTTCTGGCATGCACCGACATTCGGCATAAAGACCACGCCATCATTCATCAACTTGTTACGAATTTGTCTGGTCTTCATGTTAGCGCGTACCATTTTCTGCAACATGTTTTAGTTGAGATGAATTGACATGGTACAATATAAATAACTAGGTTATGACAAATAATTTGACATTACGGCTCTTACCGAAAACATATTTGGCAAATACCACACATTTGGCTCTTTCACATCATGTTTTTCAGACATTGTTAGTGCCCTTGCACACAAATCCACTACCTACCATCCAACAATCAAACACAAAATCATCGTAAATCGTAACATAAATAGTGCACAATTCATACGAAAGTCGTAGTAGTATAGTACTTACTGATGAGCAAACCCAGCTATTCTCGCTAATGACCGAACTGAAATAATGTCGTTGCACGTTTTCAGAAAAAAAGTCCACAACGGTCAAACTGCAAAAATCAAAATAACAAAAATGTCAATTGTGATTTGCAACGTACAGGTCGATCTGTTCACAGTCACGGTCGACCTTATTGGAAAAGCGGTCGACCTCATAACCGATCCGGTCGACCACACGTACTAAAAACGTCTTACTTGTCCCAATTCTTGTCCCCAGCCTTCTCTTTAGTAACAACATAATACAAGTCTTCAACTGGATTTTGAAGATTTTTGGTGAATCCTTCTAGACCCTCCACTTTCATGACCTACAAATCATATTTAAAATTAAAGTAACATATGAACACAAACACACATTATAGGTGAATATGTAACGTAAACTTACCCCGTGCTTTTCGAAAGGACTCTTAGATTCTTCTTCATCGCTATCATCACTAAATAATCCTTTTCTTACAAATTGATCCTTCTGTGGAGTGGTGTAGGAGTCACTTTCATATCGAGGTCTCTTGTACTTAGGAGAGGAACCCTTGCTGCCATTCGTTGTTTCACTCTGTCAAACATATAAACAAAACAAATTAGCACTAATGATAGTAATACTAATATCTTCAATCACATATGAATATACTTGGATACCTTTAAAATGTGCTCTTTCAATAAATCGTCTATGCTCTGGTAGCAATTTTCAGAGTCATCATGGTATTCTTCCTCTTTACCAAAGTCAAAATTAGGTCCTTTACCATTTCTTCCGCCATTCTCCATTCGTTCTGCACTTATATCTTTGATAGCACCTTCTAGCCTCTCAAACCCGTCATGCATCATCCCAGTCATATCTGTCAGTCGAACTGACAATTGCTCCACTCTATCACACATGGACTTCTGAAAGTCATTGACTTGTGTTTGACACACCACCAGCTTCTCTTGTGTGGCTTTCAACAATTTCATGATTTCACCCAAATCTTGATGCAGTTTCTCATCATGCGTCATTGTCTAAACAATTTCAAGAAAAATTTAAATCATAATTCAACTTCAAATTTCTACAATTGACCAAAAAACAAATACGTGGTCGACCTGACATAGTATTAGGTCGACCTGGAAGACAAATAGTGACTACCACAACCATTACGGTCGACCTCTGTTATTCCTAGGTTGACCTATCCAGCAGGAAAATAACAATTAACAACAAAAAGTAAGTTCTAAATTAAACCGAAAAAAGGATAGGTCGACCAGATATTTGGCGCGGTCGACCTTTTCAAGCACAACATAGTCATACAATCAAAGCCAAAGTCGACATTCAGGTTGAATAACCAAAAAAACAGGAACGGTCGACCTTGAAACCCATTAGGTCGACCAATTGGGTTACCTCGCAAGTACAGAAATCCAAGTGTTGTGGCCTAAATTCAAATACGCAGAATTGTCTCGTCAGGTCGACCTGATTGACGTCACGGTCGACCGAATGGAATTCTGCACCCAACAATATATCAAGTTAGCCGGTAGAAATCACGCATTAGAAAAGAAGACGACGAATGGTACATTAGGTAGACCTCACCTTAGACCTGGTCGACCACTTCCAACGCGTACAACAGCAACCGCGAACGATCTTCTTCACAAAGGCTCTTAATCGGAAAAAAACCTAATTCGGACTTGGAGGCGTTGAAGGGGACTAATATTCGTATTTATAGAGATTTGGGACGTCAATGGGTCGACCCAATTCGTTTCCTTGTCCAATTGTGGAACCTTTCTGGTGTTGGAATCCATATCCAATACGGATACGGTGTGAAGGCGGTCGACCTCTTCCTAATGCGGTCGACCTGTTAGGTGCACAAGGGTCGGCCTATGAGATATTTGGGTCGACCTTTCATTCTGTTAGACCACCAAAGCGGTCGACCGTATTATGTAAGCGGTCGACCGCGTCTTGGAATCCCACAAACATGAATTAGTCGATTCGGTCGACCGCCTTCAGCAATAGGTCGACCGAAAAGTCCATGTCACCGTAGCAAAATCCTATCTTTTATTACAAAAAAATTGAAGAATTCATATAAGTCTTATGCTAGTAAGCTAGGGTTATCTTGGCCCATATTTTACCGGTCTTCTTTTCCCCCCTGTAATTTACATGTCTTCTTTCGTTGATTAATCAAATGTCAAATGAAATTTAATCTAATATGATTTGAGCCTTTGTTGCCCATTTAGCGGCGACCATTAGCTGGTTTCGGAATCAAATTGGAGGATAAACAGAAAAAGTTAGTGTTTTAGGGTTTAGTGTTTAACCGTTACAAAATTGGTGGTTAACCATTGATAGAAACTGTTGATGCCAAGCTTAGAGCAGCCTGCTTCAATATGTTTAAGGTCCGGAGAGCGCTGATTTCCCAAAGCCTTTAACCACCTCCAGCTCCGTGCGAATACCTGGAAAAAAAGGTCCCACCGGGGGAGTCCTGGTTGGAACCTCCTCCGACGCTCAAATTAGTAACCTGAATGGAATAAAATAAATACGGTGACGTTAGACCTGGTTCGGTCCCACGGTCATAATTGAGCGTCGTCGGCTATTTAAGGCCGCCCGGTGGAGACTATCCACGATTCCATGGCTTAGTCCGCCAAATTGAGAGTGTGTTGAGTGTTAAGAGATTTAACACGTTTTTGGGAGATCATGAGGAGAGAGAACGTTTTTAGAGAGAGAAAGTAGAGAGAGCGTGTATGTGTGAGTTGTGTTGTGGGAAGTAGTCGTAAGCGACTTATGTGGTGTGTGTGTGACTTGTTATGTGGAGGGACTTATGGTCTGTTGAGAAAGGGGGAGGGGTGCTCCCTATTTATAGGAAAAAGTCGTAGTTGAATTCCTCGACTTACGTTAACATTCACTAATATTCTCCATTATTCTCCTATACTCGTTAATATTCTCCATCATACACCAATATTCCTCATCCATTATTGTATATGGGAAAGTCCAAGTGTGTATGTGTAAGTAGGAGAAAGTGTAAGTATATAAAGGAGTATGAATATATGGAAAATGGGTAAATGAATTGGTTTTAGTTCTCTACGTATGCATGCCATTGCATGAACATGAATGTATGAGAAAGGAGTAGAAAAAAGAATGATGTTCTTGTCTTTCCTTTATTATTGTAGTTTGTAGACGTGATAGTGGAATGGTTTTTCATGCATGTGTAGGTTAGTGAAGGAAATTAGGAGAAAGGAAGGGGAATATGAAAGAAAGAGAATGAGAGAGAAGGAAAGGAGATGAGTGGTTTCTGCCACTTCACATGACATGAAGGAAAAGAGATGTGGAAAAGACAAGGAAAGAAAAAGACAAAAGTTTGTATCATATGTCTTTGTATGAGATAGGGGGAGAGAGGAACATGCCAAGGAAAGAAAGAAGAAGGAAATGGGTACGTGGGAAGGAAAGGAAGAAAGGACAAAAATAATGGTTATGAAAAGATAGGTAAAGTAAAAGACAAAGAAGAAGTTTAGGAAAAAATAAGAAAGTAAATGAAGGTAAAGGAAAAAAACAATAACAATAGTTAAAGGAAAAACAATCAAGGATTCTGATGGTAAAATACAATTTTTGGGTATTCCGGGTACCGCAATTATGAACAATTTATCGAGTGTATTAATGAAAGGACAGGTGTTTAATATTTTTTAAAATTTTATCGGTTAAGAACTGGGTCCATCAATTGCCCCCCTTACCGATAGAAAAATTCGGAGTTCGTCCTGACATTTTCTGACGGTAAGTCGGTATTAGACCCAGTCTCAAACGCTGCTCCTATAAATACCAGAGCGGAGGGAACATAATCCATTCTCCATTTCCCAGCCTCCTGCTCTCGTACTTCTCCTCCCATCTTTTCATTTCTCACAAAGCAAAAGCAGTTCACTACCCACAGTAAACTCTTGTTTCACTATCCCTAAAGTAAATTCTCATTTTACCTTTAGTAAAAATAGCGAGTTTACCTTCATCATTACGAGATAATCAACGTTTAATGATTATACCGCCTTCCACTGTTGTGGTGGCAAGAGGATCGGATGCCAGTGGGTCTCGAGATATAGCACCTAACCCACTGGGTTTTAATGTCTGCCCTTGGGAGGTGATGTATCCTCTGGGTCGAGTGCCTCCGGAGTACCCAGTAGGTGGCCTGGGACGTGGTTTTACGCAAAGTGAAAAGTGGTTACGAGAACTGTTGGTTTCGTATGGTATGCCTCATCACTGGAGTTATGCCATACCCAATAGACTTGTTTCGGCTGTAAGTCACCCATCATCATGGCGATCGCTTTTTCGTTCTTCTCTGGAGTATGGGTTTCGATTGCCCCTGCCTACATGGTTGTGTGTTGTAATGCACCGTAGTAAGCTTTCAATCGATTCTGTTAGTCCTCGTTTTTGGACTTTCATCGCTTGTTTTATTCTGTCATGTTGTCGAGTTGGGGTTTCACCATCCCCCGAGTTGTTTTATGCTTGTTTTTTCTTTCGTCATGATCGAGTGGCTTGGGAGTTGCACAAACGGAAGTCAGCCAATAACCTTTGCACTTCGCTGAGCCATCTGAAGGGGTCGTGGGAGACGGAATTTTTTTATTTTCTTGCCCCGCCTAGTGAGTTTACCTCCGGAGGTATCACAGTCCCAGCTGACTGGAGTGAAGGTGTTACAGGTGGATTTCAGGATCCCGTGATTGAGGGAGAAATCGCTTTACAGCATGATCGGCTTCTCCGGGGGAGACCCATTGATATAAGTACTCCTGGGGCTCGAGCAAGCTTGTTTCTTGCTGTTTATGGTAAAGGTACGTCATTTTTTACAATACTTCCCTTTTTGTGACCGTATTTTCTAACTGTAATCCTTCCTTGCAGATTACTCGCACTTTCAGAGGTGTATGAGGAATAGAGAAGTGCCAGCAGTGCTTCACTCGTATGTCGGGGTGCCAATTCGTGAGAGACCAGATAATCCCCCGCGTGGACGGTCGAGAGTTCGTCATGACCAGTCGAAGAGAACTCGTTCCTGGGTGAGAGGATTAGGAGATTCCCCTACTGGGAAGGGTCGCTCTGAGGGGAGAGCCAGAGATGCTAAAGGAAAAACCCCAGTGGGCGGTAGGGGAACCCTGAAGCATCAGGGGGAGTCTTCAAGAGCCAGCAAAGGTGGAATTTTGGCTGGTGGTGTCATAACGTACGACAGTTTGTGCGATGCGGGGAAACACTATCCCGTTTTAGAAGATGCAGCCACAGGATCAACTTTTGCTTCTTCTGTTTCAAAGGTGCTTTTACGTTCTTCCTTTGTTTTTCGGTCTTCAATTTGTATATGATACATTGACGTTGTTATTTTGCGAATAGTTGGCGAGGTACGCTGTTGCCATGGAGTGTCGCCTAGCTATGGCAGAGCTTCGGGTTACTGAGGCCCGAGAGGAGGCAACTCGTTCTTTGGAAGAAATGAGAATCCAGATGAAGACAAGAGAGGAGCAATTTTCTTCCAAATCATGTGAATGGAATGCAGACATGGTGGAGGCTCAACAACATGTTGAGGTAGTCACACAGGAGCTGCGTACCTCAGAAGCAGCTGAGGCTGGCCTTCGCAAAAAAGTTGAGCAGCTTCACGCCAGTATGCGTGAGGAGAGGCTAATTAGGAGGTCTTTACGGTCGGAGAATACTGGTTTACACTCAGAAAACACCACCCTCCGATCAGAGAATAATACTCTACGTCATCAGTTACAGATGGCGGTTTCGGGAGTGATGGATAATGTCCATCGCCTGGCTAGAAGGGCAATTTATTGTATGTATCCTGCAAGAGATATTGATGACACCCGCCTTCGTCAAGTGGTGGAAGAATGTGCGACTACTTTGGAACCTGAGGAGGTGACATCCCAAAATATGAATGTCGTGGAGGAATGCGATGGTGCTCCTCAGTCTGGGGAAGCAGCAAGCCAAATTTCGAATGTGGAGATTGAGTTCCATCGCATCTCGCCACTTTTAGATGCTGTTTCTGAAGCAAGTCCAATGGTTGGCACCCCAGTGCATTCAGACTTTAATATCTCGACGGCAATGTTGTTGGTTGCAACCGAGTTACTCGGCCCAGAGTTTTTTGAGAACTAAAGTTTATGAAATTCCAACTTGAAATAACATTGTAAAATATTATGTAAGATACTCGGTCATGTGTATAGCTTAGCTTATAAACACCTGTAGTAGGTAATGTACAATGGGCTTCCAAACTTTTGTAATAATAAACACGCTGCTTTTATTGCTAGCTATATTTCACCCTACCATGGTATTTATTTAGGGAACAAATCCACTGGGGTGTTTATTTAAAAGATAGCAAGGGTATACCATATTTATGGAGTAAAGTATCTCCTTAGATGCATTGTGTTCCAAGTCCTTGACATGTCTTGACCATCAGGGAGTGATAGTTTTACAGTATTTGGTCCCACCACTTTACGCACTTTGTAAGGACCCTCCCATTGGGGGGTGAACTTTCCTTGAGTTGGAATGTGTTTGAAGTTTCTCCTCAGAACCCACTCCCCTTCCCTGATGGGTCGATTTCTCACCTTGGCGTTGTAGTAACGCGCGATCCTCTTTTTGGAAGCGGCGAGTCGCAAAAGTGCTTCCTCTCGACGCTCCTCGATGAGATGTAGATCATGAGTGAGCTCGATTTGATTTTCATCAGGGTGGAATGCTTGGATTCTGTAAGAGGAGAGCTCCATTTCAATTGGCAGCACAGCATCGGTGCCATAAGTCAAGGCATATGGTGTCTCCCCAGTGGAAGTCTTGTAAGTTGTCCGGTGGGCCCAAAGCACATGGGGCAGCTCCTCGACCCATCGAACCTTGCCCTGGCCTAATCTGGTTTTTAGGCCCCATAGGATGCTTTTGTTAGCAGCCTCAGCCTGACCGTTAGCTTGAGGATAGGCCACCGAGGCATATCGAAGTAAGATTCCATATTGGGCGTAGTAGGCCTGTAAATCTTCGCTCGTGAATTGTGTCCCCTGATCCATGATTAGAGTGTGAGGGAGACTGAACCTGCATAAGATGTTTAGCCATAAAAACTTTTCAACTCTCTGAGTGGATAGGCTAGCGATCGCCTCAGCCTCAATCCACTTGGTAAAATAATCAATGGCTACGATCAGCCATTTCTTTCGTCCAGGAGCCGTGGGAAAGGGTCCCAAAAAGTCCATCCCCCATTGAGCGAATGGCCATGGCCCGATGTTAACCTGCATTTTTGATGGAGGTGCATGAGTGGTTTGCGCGGCCACCTGACATTTGGGGCATGCTTGAGCATACTTTTGAGTGTCCCGCCGCATCGTGGGCCAGTAGTAACCTTGTCGTAGAAGGGTTTTTTCCAAGCTACGAGGACCAGCATGCATCCCACATGATCCTTCATGTACCTCCTGTACGGCAAAGTGTGCTTCGCCAATGCTAAGGCACCGCAGGTAGGGTCCAGTGAAGCCTTTCTTGTATAAATCTCCCTCGATCAGGAGGTAACGAGGAGCACGTCTCTTAAGGCGGATGGCTTCCTTCTGGTCAGTGGGCAGGAGCCCATGTTTTAGATACTCGATGAGAGGTGTTCGCCAATCGAATTGTGCTGGAAATGAGGTAACTTGGGCGCATAACATTGTTGGACGCCTTTCAATGATCACATGTCTCTCGCTGAGGAAGTCTTGTGCTGTTGCAAGTTTTGATAATGCGTCTGCATGAAGATTATCCTCACCAGATATGTGGACTATCTCCGCTTGAGGAAACTCAGAGAGTGCCATACGAGCGGCATTGGTGTATGGTACGAGCGCGGGCTCTCGTACCTCGTATGTCCCCTGCACTTGATTGACAACTAGGGCAGAGTCGGAGTGGACCCTAATTCGTTGAATGCCCAATTCTTGAGCCATAATCAGTCCCGCTAGGAGGGCTTCATACTCGGTGGCATTGTTCGTCATGGTGTTGGCAAAGCGAATTGCCAATTCATGAGTGACTCCGAGAGGGCTGATGAGCAAAACTCCTGCTCCTGATCCAGTTTTACTAGATGCACCATCAACGTACAATCTCCAAGTCTCTGTTTCTGGCGGGATACATGCTCGAACACCTTCTGCAACAAAGTCAGCTAAAACTTGGGACTTGATGGCGGTGCGAGGGAGGAAAGTGATATCGTATTCACTAAGCTCGATGGCCCAGTTCACCATTCTACCAGCAACATCCATCCGCTGAAGTAGACGACGTAAAGGCAGTTGAGAGAGTATACATATGGGGTGGCTTTGGAAGTACGGACGCAGCTTTCGAGTGGCAACCACCACAGCTAGGGCGGCTTTCTCCACAGGAGAGTATCTTGTTTCAGCATCTAACAGGGTCTTACAAGTGTAGTAAATAGGATGCTCTGTATTGTCTGTATCTCGGCGAACGAGTACAGCACTCACAGCCTTGGAGGAGACAGCAAAGTACATGTACAATGTCTCGTTGTTGACGGGAGATGAGAGTATTGGGGGATTCACCAAGTACTCCTTAAGTTCTGTGAAAGCTTTCTCACATTCAGGGGTCCACTGAAATGTTTTTCCAGCTCCTTTTAGGGTGTTGAAGAAAGGGGCACACCGATCCCCAGCTCGTGAAATGAATCGATTGAGTGCCGCAATCCTTCCTGTTAGAACCTGTACTTCTTTATGCTTTGTAGGTGATGTCATCTGGAGAATCGCTTCAATTTGCCTGGGGTTAACCTCGATTCCACGTCTTGTCACCATGAATCCAAGAAACTTCCCTGCGGTGGCCTCGAAGACGCACTTTTTTGGATTAAGGCGCAAGTTGTATCCTCGTAGGGTATCAAAAGTCTCGCGTAGATCTTCTAAATGTGCATGTGTCTCTGCACTTTTGATTAGGATGTCATCCACATGGGCTTCAACATTTCGACCTAGTTGTCGGGCAAAGACTCGATCCACCATACGTTGATAGGTAGCTCCGGCATTTTTTGGGCCGAACGGCATCACCTTGTAGCAATAATTTCCTACCGGAGTCATGAAGGCAGTATATTTTTGGTCGTCCTCCTTTAGTGGGATCTGGTGGTACCTTGAGAACATATCAAGAAAAGAGAGATGGCGATGACCGGCGGTCGCATCAATAAGCAGATCAATCTTGGGCAAAGGATACGGGTCCTTCGGGCAAGCCTTGTTGAGATCGGTGAAGTCAACACACATTCTCCACTGGCCGTTGGCCTTTTTAACCATGACCACATTAGCCAACCATGTTGGGTAGAGAACCTCGCTAATGAAGCCGGCTTGCCCTAGCTTGATTACCTCCTCTGCTATGGCCTGGCGATGTTCCCATGCAAAGTTCCTTCTTTTTTGCTGGATGGGCTTGCTACCTGGGATAATCCCTAGTGTATGCTCGGCAACTTTTGAATCAAGACCAGGCATATCCTCAGGTCCTTGAGCAAAGAGCTCTTTGTACTCGATCATCAAACTGAGAAGTTGTGGGAGATAATTTTTAGGCCATGCCATGGATACACGAACGGTTCGCCCTTCTTCTAATGTATGTTCTTCATCAGGGTCAACGGGAACGGGACGAGCGACCTCGTCTTTGGCTTCCATTGTGGCCACAAAGCCATCTTTAAGGGAGAACTCATAACACTGTCGTGCAAGAGCTTGATCTCCCTTCACACACCCGACTCCGGCAATAGTTGGGAACTTCAATTTTAAGTGCAGAGTTGAGGGTATAGCCCGAATTTGATGTAGAAAAGGGCGCCCGAGAATGCAGTTGTACGCGGAAGGGCAGTCAATAACATGGAAGTTGATTGTGTTCTCTACGGTTTGTTGGTCATTGCCAATACGAACTTGGAGTGGGAGAATCCCCAGAACTGGGACTTGATTTCCGGAGAAGCCCACGAGGTAAATGCTAGGAGGGTGACATTTGTTTAGTTGAAGACCCATGGACTTGAAAGCTGGGTAGAATAAAAGATCTGCAGAGCTTCCTCCACATCGATGAGGACTCGTTGCACAGAATAGTTTGCGATTACTGCCTTAATGTCTAAGGCATCATCATGAGGATACTCGATATCTTCAAGATCCCTATCGTCGAAAGATATGGGAATTTGTGTGGTAGAGGCGGAACCGACCAACCTTGGGGCACCGGTTGAGCGAGAACCAACTTGTTCGGATAATTTGACCCCACCATGAATGACAGGAACATTTCCCAACACCGATCCACTTTCCTGTGGTGCTTTTCCTTTGTCTATTATTGGAGGTGAAGGGAGAATAGGGGGACGAATATTCTTTACAAAGTCTCGAAGATAGCCTCGTTGGATAAGTCCTTCAATAGAGTGCTTGAGGGTGTAACAGCTTTCTGTATCATGTCCCGTACATCGGTGAAATTCACAGTAGAATTGTTGGCCCTTTCCTGAAACCCTCATAACTGGAGGAGGTTGAGTAATGGGAATTTCCTTCTCTCGAATGATCTGAAGAATGGCTTGTCTAGAGCGATTGAGAGGAGTATAGCTTTGTTGTATCTGGGTATCTTCCCTTTTGGAATTTTGGGAAGAGTTTCGGCCCTCGAGTGCAGGAGCTTGACGTTGTCGGCGGGAATCTTGGGATGAAGTCTCTTGTTTTCTTTTGGATCCTGCTCGACTAACCTCCTGAAGTGGTTCTTCTAGATCAATATATTTTGAAACTCGCTCTTGAAGCTCCATAGTGCTGTGGGGAGCCCGTTTTGCAAGAGAAGCATATAAATCAGTATTGATAGTCCCTCGCATCAGGGCATTGGTGGCGATCTCAGTGGAAATGGACGTTAGTCCGATGGCGATGTTACTATATCGAGTATAGTAAGCCTTGAGTGTCTCATCATCACGCTGCCTGATGCTGAGGAGTTGATGGATGCTGATAGGTTGTTTTTTTTGTGCGTAGAATTTGCATCTGAAAAGAGTGGCAAATTCGAAGAAACTGGATATAATACCATCTTGTAACTTTGAGTACCATCGTCGGGCATCTCCACGGAGTGTTGCTGGGAAGATTTTGCACATTGTTGCATCAGATGCTCCGATTAATGGCATTAGGATTTGAAAAGAGCAAAGGTGGTCTTCTGGATCTGTGGTGCCATAATACTCTGGTAAGCTTGGTAAATGAAGATTTGATGGGTAGGGCTCATCCTGCACGATTCTGGATAGAGGTCCTCCTACTCCGGTTGAAGTGACAACTCCGTGTCCTGGGGAAGGTTCGAGCAGATTGGCTGAGAGACTCGGAGCGATTAGTCCAACAGGTGCTGACATCCCATTGGATGGTTCGTTAACCGAGCCATGGGCTGCAACTCTCTCCTGATTATTTGTTACGGGTCCTCTGGAAGATCCAGGGGCATTAATCTGGGAGGCTTCTTTGGCCTTGAGTTGAGCTCTGAGTCGCTCAATCTCAACCTGCATCTCACGTACTTGTGTCGGAGTAGGGGTGGGAATTGCCTCTGATGCTGGAATGGAGGTATTGTGTGCAAGTGGCACCACTCGAGGCTCTGTATTTGGACTCGGTGCATCGCTGAGTGGTGAACGGGGGGTTGGGTTGCCCCCAGTCTCGATTACTCTTAAAGAGCGACGCACTGCTTCGATGGTAGGAATACTGGGAGAGCCTTGGGTATTCATCACGGCTTGGTGGTGGTTTGTTAAAACGTTGGTAATATTCTTCTCACCGGGCCCCACGGTGGGCGCCAATTGTTGATGCCAAGCTTAGAGCAGCCTGCTTCAATATGTTTAAGGTCCGGAGAGCGCTGATTTCCCAAAGCCTTTAACCACCTCCAGCTCCGTGCGAGTACTTGGAAAAAAAAGGTCCCACCGGGGGAGTCCTGGTTGGAACCTCCTCCGACGCTCAAATTAGTAACCTGAATGGAATAAAATAAATACGGTGACGTTAGACCTGGTTCGGTCCCACGGTCATAATTGAGCGTCGTCGGCTATTTAAGGCCGCCCGGTGGAGACTATCCACGATTCCATGGCTTAGTCCGCCAAATTGAGAGTGTGTTGAGTGTTAAGAGATTTAACACGTTTTTGGGAGATCGGGAGGAGAGAGAAAACGTTTTTAGAGAGAGAAAGTAGAGAGAGTGTGTATGTGTGAGTTGTGTTGTGTGAAGTAGTCGTAAGCGACTTATGTGGGGTGTGTGTGACTTGTTATGTGGAGGGACTTATGGTCTGTTGAGAAAGGGGGAGGGGTGCTCCCTATTTATAGGAAAAAGTCGTAGTTGAATTCCTCGACTTACGTTAACATTCACTAATATTCTCCATTATTCTCCTATACTCGTTAATATTCTCCATCATACACCAATATTCCTCATCCATTATTGTATATGGGAAAGTCCAAGTGTGTATGTGTAAGTAGGAGAAAGTGTAAGTATATAAAGGAGTATGAATATATGGAAAATGGGTAAATGAATTGGTTTTAGTTCTCTACGTATGCATGCCATTGCATGAACATGAATGTATGAGAAAGGAGTGGAAAAAAGAATGATGTTCTTGTCTTTCCTTTATTATTGTAGTTTGTAGACGTGATAGTGGAATGGTTTTTCATGCATGTGTAGGTTAGTGAAGGAAATTAGGAGAAAGGAAGGGGAATATGAAAGAAAGAGAATGAGAGAGAAGGAAAGGAGATGAGTGGTTTCTGCCACTTCACATGACATGAAGGAAAAGAGATGTGGAAAAGACAAGGAAAGAAAAAGACAAAAGTTTGTACCATATGTCTTTATATGAGATAGGGGGAGAGAGGAACATGCCAAGGAAAGAAAGAAGAAGGAAATGGGTACGTGGGAAGGAAAGGAAGAAAAGACAAAAATAATGGTTATGAAAAGATAGGTAAAGTAAAAGACAAAGAAGAAGTTTAGGAAAAAATAAGAAAGTAAATGAAGGTAAAGGAAAAAAACAATAACAATAGTTAAAGGAAAAACAATCAAGGATTCTGATGGTAAAATACAATTTTCGGGTATTTCGGGTACCGCAATTATGAACAATTTATCGAGTGTATTAATGAAAGGACAGGTGTTTAATATTTTTTAAAATTTTATCGGTTAAGAACTGGGTCCATCAGAACCGTTCATTATATGTAACATATAAGACTTGTATATTAAACTAATTTTAGAATAAAGTTATCATTAATCATAAACGATTTTAAATTTGTATCATCACTAAAATATCTAATAAATCATTCAAACCGTCTGACAAATGAAATCATAATTTTTTTAATTCAAATTGAAAATTACGATGCTAATCGATAGTGGACTAGGTAAAGTCGACAACAAGGTTGGAAAATGAGAAAAGTATCAGTTATGTTAAAGAATTTTTTTAAAAATATTTGTGTTTAAAATAGTGAATTAGTGGACCAGTTAAACCGTTGTGGTCCATCTAGTTTTATGTTGAACCCTAAAAAATTATTTAGTCCATCAATAACCGTCCAAACAATGAATTGGACCGCTATCGAAACTAATTTGACTGTTCTACTCGCCCAACCGTTGATCCGGTTCGGTTGTTAGCTATTAACCCTATATATACTATTCATTTTAGGTTTTTTGTACTCACTATTTCTGCCGCCATTCTTCACGAGCCGTCGAAAGAAAACGAATCGTCTAGAAAACGCTAATGCAACACTAAACCCTACTCGCCGTCGTCACCGCTGCCGACCCGGTTTCTTCCCCCCTTTGCGTTATCGGCGATGGCTGAACTGGCGATTCCGGCCCCCGGGCACGGCTGCGCTCCAGCTTCCTTCAAGACCGTCTTCATCGACACCAACCTCGACACTCGCTTGGCCTTGATGATCTCTTCCTCCGTCACCGTCGCCGATCTTAAGAGTAATCCCTCGCTCCCTCGCTCGTCTTTTTTCCACATAACCCCCAATGTCCATTGCAAAGATATGAACTCTGTGAACTTTAACTGTTTTTGTGATGGTCCGTCTGCGGTAATTGCAGAAAAGATCATGGATGAGCATCCGCTGTGTTTCCCTAAGCTTGGAGAAATAAAAGTCGATGGATTGAAGGTATGGTTTTTCTTTCTCGATACTATTTTCCGCTTATTCTCTGATTGATTGACTGTGAAATGACCTATCCCGTTTGTGGGAATGGAATTGGGCAGGTTGAAAGGAGAGGGTTTTACTATCACTTGGCAGAGTCAATGCTTGTGACAAATGCCTTTGATGGGCTTAAGGAAGATTGGGTTGTTAGTATTGAAGCTTCTACGGTATCCATGGATAAGGAGGTTGAGCCTGAAATGGCTAACTTAGCCTTAATGAGAATGAACAATGGGTTGGAGGAGGAAGGTGTTAATGTTGTTCTAGATAGGCATCACAATGTTATGTTCGAAAGGGATTTGTTGGTTTCTCAGAAGGAGAGCAATGACCTTTGTGTCGAAGTTGCTCGGGGAGCTCAACTTGTTGGTGGTGATGATTGTGGTGACCAAGTTTTGTCAATGGTGCCGTTGGTTACTGATGAAGTTGTTAGAGAAGAGAAATGTGATGAAGAAAAAACTCAGGATATGGATGTTGAAAATACAGCAACTGGGAAAGATTTGAGTAAGATTGAAGCAAGTAGTGTATTGCCAGAAGGAACTTCTGATGTGAAGGAAAAACGTAAGAACAGAAAGAGAAGGAAAAAGGTTGTAGATGATCTTTCTGGTGAAAATGTTGATGTGTCCATGCACAAGTTGGTAACAAAGGGAGGAGAGGAAGGGATTAAACTATCCAAGACTACTGCTTCGCAGGAAAGAAGTGAAGTGGACATTGTTTCAGTAAAGGGTTTGTTAGTTTGTCAAAAGGAGAGCACTGACCTTGTTGAAGTTGCTTTGGGAGCTCGTGGTGATGATTGTGGTGACCAAGTTTTGTCTATGGTGCCATTGGCTACTGATGAATTTGTTAGAGACGAGAAATGTGACGAAGAAACTCAGGAGATGAATATGGAAAGAACAACAATTGGGAAAGATTTCAGTAATTTTGACACAAGCAGTGTATTGCCAGAAGGAGCTTCTAATATGAAGGAAAAACGCAAGAAGAAAAAGAGAAGTAAAAAGCGTGTAGATGATCTTTCTGGTAAAGATGTTGATCTGTCAATCCACAATTTGGGAACAAAGGGAGGAGAGGAAGAGATTAAACTATCCAAGACTACTGGTTCGCAGGAAAGAAGTGAAGTGGTTATTAGTGATATCCAGATCATTGTTTCAAAAAAGGGTCCGTTGGTTTCTCAAAAGGAGAGCACTGACCTTGTTGAAGTTGCTCGGGCAGCTCAACGTGTGGGTGGTGATGATTGTGGTGACAAAGTTTTGTCATTGGTGCCGTTGGTTAGTGATGAATTTGTTGGAGAAGATAACTGTGATGAAGAAAAAACTGAGAAGATGGATGGTGAAAGAACAGAAATTGGGAATGAGTTGAGTAAGATTGATGAAAGCAGTGTATTGCCAGAAGGAGCTTCTGATGTGAATGAAAAACGTAAGAAGAGAAAGAGAAGTAAAAAGGGTGCGGATGATCTTTATGTTAAAAATATTGATGTGTCAATGCACAAGCTGGGAGCAAAGGGAGGAGATGGAGATATTAAACTACCTGAGACTACTGCTTTGCAGGAAAGAATTGAAGTGGACATTGGTGATATGCAGATAATTGTTTCAGAATCTAATGCAATGACCTGTGAGCCTCCTCCTCTATCTCAGCTACCTACAATAGATGAACAACTTGTGACTGCTACTCTGGAAGGCGCAAATGCTGATTGTGTGGATGCAGGTCAATTGTCAAGCCAAAGCTTGGCGAAGAAGAAACGAAAAATCAAGTCTTTTAAGAAAGTAGATAAAGAAAATGTTGGAATAACTCCTGGTGAAGCGAGTGCTGGTGAAGAGGTACCTCTGAAGGAAGCTGAATTTAAAAGTGGCACTGTTGCTGAAGAGGCGCCTCCTTCAGATACACAAATGACGCAGCCTTCTGGTGTTTCTTTGATGGAGAAGGACCCTGATCCTCTCCAAGAGCAACAGAACAATCTTCCTTTACAAGGTATCTCCATTTTCGAATTGAACTTTGCTAACTGATGCTTGCTTCTACATTTGCTCGAAAGATACCTGATATTCAAACTGGTTTGCTGCAGGTATCAATGAGTTTCAGGAACCAACAACTAATGACATGAATAGAGTTGAAACAGAACAAGAGGTGCCCAAGACTGTTTCTACAGAAGTGCACAAAGAAGTTGTTGATTCTGTATCACACGAGGTTGATCCGTATGTTGATGATGGGAAAACATCGAAGAAAAGAAAGAAATCCAGGAAACATAAGGTACTCATGTGTGGAACAGTATCAATTGCTTCAGATGCTGATCATGTTAGAGATTGTTATGATGTACACGAGAAAGTAGGTAAGGCTGAGAACTCTATTCTTGGAGCTGCTGAAAAGGGAGATGTGAAAGAAGTGGCAGCAGCTGATAGTCCGACGGCTTCTCTTTTGGTTACAGATAAGGAAAGCGATGAGTTTATTAAAAATGCGGTAGAATCTTCACAGGAGACCACAAAGACTGAAACTGTTTCAGAAAACAGAGAAGGGAAACTGAGAAAGAAAACAAAGAAGAAGAAGCATGGTTCAGATGGTAAGAACACCGTACTACTGATACAAACAGAAGACAAGTGCCCTGATCAAAGTATTTTAGCTCCTTCCATGGCCAACATTTGTGGCACAGATTCTTCTACATTCCCTTATGATGCCATGGCCAAAATTTGTGGCACAGATTCTTCTACATTCCCTTATGATGCTAATCTGCGAAATCCGAGTCTCAAAGACTCATTAGATAGAGCAGAGATCTTGTCTCCTCCAGAGGAAGTTGGCGGCAATGCGGAAAATGCCAGCGAGGTTGATGGAATCGACATCAGCTCTAATTTCATTCCAAGAGAGCAGAATACTAAGACTGCTGATCCTAGTGAGGTTACTGGAGCTTGGGCTGAAATGAAAAGTGAAAAGAGAGGGGAAGTCCAAGAGGCAAACCTGCATGACATCTCTCCCAAGTTAGGGTATCCAACGTTGAAGGAGAAACTTGAAGCCCATGCAAAGCCTCAGGAAAAGAATGCAGTACCTGGTATAGTAGATGAGCAAAAACCTCATTGTGAAGAGGCTCAAGAAAATGCTATGACTCGTCCAATCGGTGGCAAGCCAAACAAGTGCATAGAGGAACATCATTCGGAGAGTTTGACAAACTCGAGTTCCCACACCAAAAGAGATAATAGGGATCAATCTCAAAGCCAGCAAACCGATGTGAATGGTGGGGGAGGCTATAATGCTCATCCAGGCGAAGTTGTGAATGACATGCTTCATCAGAAGCAGGTTGTTTTTTCAAGATCACTATTCAAGCAGACTCCATTTGGCGATGATTCAGATGATAGCTTGGAGTCCTATCATTTTCCATCTCCACCCCACCATACACGTGCCAGCTCCCCGGATCCTGATCTCTCAGTATCTCCTGTCCACTCGGATAAAGAAACTGATGCTGGTTAGTTATTGGTGTGTTTGTTTCAGCATTTGCTAAAGTAATAAGCGACTTTACGTTATTTTCATTATGTTTTAGTAGAAGCACAGAAAAATATCTGACTTGAATAGAAGCTAAGCGGGTATTGTTCTTGAACCAGGGTTCGACAGCATGAACAGAAATGGCAGTAGTGGTCGAGAAGGCATGAAGACACCGTTGTAAGTACAAGTACTCTTTTGATGGGATTATGTGAAGTGGCCTAAATTTAGCCACCATAATTTAATGATATTATGCTATGCTCGCCTGAATGTGTTGCTACTCAGGGATTCCACTGGACACAATCCTGAAAAGTTCAAAGAGATACAGGAAGGCCAAGCTGGATACTGAATCACAGCCTGAAGATTTTGTCCCCTGTAGTCTGAGCACATAAAATGGTCAAATCGTGAAATCCGTCGTCGCCACAAAGACGCACATTCTTTTGTTGATCGCAGCAAGTCTGTTAGAAACCCACTTTTGGATTATTTTGGTATTTGGACTTGTTTTTCGCTTTATTGACTTCGGATGTTATTTTGTGGGTTTTGGCATATTCGGGTTTATTTGGTTGTTTATGTTAGGAGGTATTAGTTTGGTCGGTTAGTATTCGAGTTATATATTCTGTAATTAGTGGATATCTTCTCATTATCCAAATACAGAATAGAACTCCTCGAGTTATTATCTCTTTCTCTTCTCTTTTGTGCAGTACTGCAGTCGAATCCTCTTTCCCTATCCTTCAATGCTCTGTTGGTCACTCAAGACTGGCTGATCTTTTTAAACACCCTTTACTCCCCAATTCCCCATTCTCAATTCTTTAACCAATCTCTAATCACCAATCATCTATTGATCATGTTCTCATAACCCTCGATAGGAGATGCCTAGTTTCGAGTTTTCTTACAGCAATATTAGAGCTTGGTTAGCGGCAGGGTTAGGTTAACAAAAGAAGTGTTATAAACAATCATTGGAGCGGTTGCAGGATATCATGATCGTGGAGGACATTACACGTGATGAGGAATTTTGAGAGCTATTGAAGACAATGACGAATCATTTTATCGGCCTCCATATTCGTATGGGAGAGGTGAACGAAACTCTGTAGGAGAGAGAGCCAAAAGGAACAACGACGACTTGAGATCGCTAATGGAGATGATGAAGCTGGCATTGGCATCGCAGGGACTGCTTGTGATGTCGGAGAAGACGACAGAGGTCGTATCGGAGGGTGATTCGGGGCGACTAGGGCAGTGGAAGGGTATGGGAGGCGCTTCTAATGTGCTATGTATCATCCCCTGGCAACATCAAAGGCTGACTGGCGCTGCTCAGGCATGCTGCAGCAGTTGGGGCAAGGATCGAGAGCCGAAAATGGAGTTTGAAGTGATGAGGACGATGGTTGGGGCTTCGATGGCGAGCCCATGATGAGGTAGGATCGAGGAGGCATAGAGGAAGATCGCCGTGGTGGTTACAACATTGGCAGGTATGGCGAGTATAACTCTGTGTATGAGAGAGGATGAACGAGATTTTAGAGCTAAGCCCCTGATCATTGAGTTCCCAAAATTCAATGTCACGAGGATGATAGGTTATGAATTTATGTTGCAGACAAGTGGTTCAAAAACCATTCTATAGAGAGGAGAGGAGCGTCTTTCTATTTAGAGGGAGATGCCTTCTAGTGTTGGGAGTGGATGAAGCGGTCCTATTCGGAGGCGGAGATGCTGATCACTTGGACTCGCTTTAAGGAGAAGCTGCAATACCCATTCTTAAATGGAGTTTGAAGTGATGAGGACGATGGTTGGGGCTTCGATGGCGAGCCCATGATGAGGTAGGATCGAGGAGGCATAGAGGAAGATCGTCATGGTGGTTACAACATTGGCAGGTATGGCGAGTATAACTCTGTGTATGAGAGAGGATGAACGAGATTTTAGAGCTAAGCCCCTGACCATTGAGTTCCCAAAATTCAATGTCACGAGGATGATAGGTTATGAATTTATGTTGCAGACAGGTGGTTCAAAAACCATTCTATAGAGAGGAGAGGAGCGTCTTTCTATTTTGAGGGAGATGCCTTCTAGTGTTGGGAGTGGATGAAGCGGTCCTATTCGGAGGCAGAGATGCTGATCACTTGGACTCGCTTTAAGGAGAAGCTGCAGTACCCATTCAAGAAGTCAGAGGGATGGGTGTCGGAACACCTTGCTAAGCTGAGATAGTCTGGTACTGTGGCAGGGTTCTGACCGGAGCTCTTGAGGCTGGGAAACATGTGCAATGGTATGTCGGATGACACTAGTTTATGTCTTGTAGGTTTGAGGCCGGAGTTAGCTATAGTGGTGAAGGTGTTTGAGCTAGGTTCCTTGCTGAGGGCTTTTAGATTGGCATTGCGCAAGGAGGAGGAACTGGCAAGCTGGAAGGGAAGTAGGGTGCTATTCCAAATGGCAGCCGACGGAAATACTAGATCAGACGCAACAGGTGGAATGGCGGCGGCGCCCCTGAAAGGGGCATGAGTGCCCGCGGCAGCAGTAGCAGCTCCACGAGGAGAACGACAGGGGCTCAGGTTGCGACGTTGAGGGTTCATGATGCTCACACCGCCAGATCTGGAGTAGAAACATAGGGTTGGCCGCTGCTTCAACTGCAATGAGAAGTACACTGTCGCGCACCAGTGTGTCGAGGGTCATTTGATCTTGCTCGTAGGAAACTTGGAGGATGAGGCGGTGGAGCTCACAACAGAGTTAGGCAAGGAAAATCATGGAGCGCCGGTCCAACATTGAGGGTAAGGTTAGTTTTGAGAGGGATGGATTGTTAGACCAACTTTTTGGATGATTTTGGAATTTGGTTTTGTTTGTCGTTTTATTAATGTTTTTGGGTGACTTTGGAAATTATTTGGTGGTTTGTAGCATATTTGGGTAATTGGGTTTACTTGGTTTTATTGTTATGAGGTAATAGTTGGGTAGTTAGTGAGAAATATTTGTGCCATACATTTTATAATTAGTTGATATTTTCTCATTAAGCAAATACAAAACAAAATTTCCCAAACCCTAACCTCTCTCTCTTCTCTCTTGTGCAGCCGAACCTTCTTCCCCTCTCCCTCAACTAGTCGTCACCCACCCCTGACAAATTGATCTTCTTCTTATTCGACCCCGGTTTCTCCCCAATTCCCTGTTCTCCATCCCTAATCCCCAGTCCTCTATCGATCTTGAGATCCCTAGATGAAAGACGCCTAGATCTAAGGTTTCTTATAAGTCATTTCCTTGTTTATGTGTTTATGATTATATGATGATGAGCCCAATTTTGAAGTTAGTTTGTGGGTATACAAAACTCGTTTGATGCTTCATGGAAGGCCAGGGTGAAATCCGGGGTGCCGAATACCTTGAGTAAGAAAACACTATCCAGAACTTGAATTGACTGATCTTTCGAACATGGTACTATACTCTAACCCTTAAAGATCAAAATCTAGGTCTTAATTCTCTAAATCTTATACCCCAATATCAATTTAATTAGAAAAAATAATCGACGGTTATGCTTCGTCCAAATATAGGCAAAAAAATCAATGCACTTAGGGTTTATAGTTTATGATTTAGATAATTAGGACCTAGGGTTCATTCATTAAGGGTTAGGGTATAATATCATGCCCAAAAATCCTGCTAATTTGAGTTCTAGATAGCGTTTTCATACTCAAGGTATGCGGTATCAAGGATTCCATCCGGGTTACCGTAGAAGGCACCACACAAAATATATATATGGGTCTGACTGGTGTGCTCCAGACGCATAGCATACTCCAGGTTCTCTAAACCGTTGATCTAATCTAACGGCTATATTAATAATAATTAATTGATTTATTAATTATACTTTAAAGATAATTACTTTAGTCCATATACATATTTATCAATATCCTTTTATAGTTTGAACCTAATTTTCTTCTAATCACTTCTTTATCACCCAATTTTTGCATTATTTCTAATTTCTTTCTTCTCACGACTCTTGTTTAGTTGTTTGGGTCTTCAAACTCAAATCCTCTTTCAGTCGACAAACCAGCTCCTCTCATGACCATCATCACATCTCCTCCTCTACCCTTCAAATCGAAACCCCTCTTTCACAGACTTTCTTCATAAATAGCACTGTTTAAAAAAAATCCAAAAATAACACCCTTTTTCGAAAACCGCAGGGTGGGGGCGTCGAAAACCGCATGGGTAGGTCTTGGCATAACTAGTTGAGTTGTGTTCTTTGTATGCAAGAGGTCCTTGGTTCAAAACACCATCATGCCATATTATTATTTTTTATTTAGTAGAGATTAAAAAAGCAACATGGGGTGGTGGTTCGAACCCTGATAATAAAATAGTTAACTAATTTTAACATAACAAATTCACCACCAAACTACAACTCTTTTGTTGATACAATTACATATTGAAAAAGTTTGTGTCCTTGAACGCTAACAATCCTAAATAACTTTGAACAGCCATAACTTTGTGCTCCAAAATCTGAACGTCATAATTTTTTTTTTCATTTTGCATAACTTTTGAAGGACTACAATTTTCACTAGAAAGAAATTTTCAAAACATGAATTATTATTGGATATACAGGGTTTTGTGAATAACGTTACCTTCCCTTTTCACAAATCCACGTACATTCCGAAATTATGTCAATGATAAAAGGTGTAGTCCTTAAAAAGTTATGCTAAATGAAAAAAAAATTCATGACGTTCGAATTTTGGATCACAAAGTTATGGCCGACCAAAGTTTGGCAAAATCGAAAAAGGCTCGTTCGGGGTAGCAAATGACGCTTTTTCGAGACGAAGGCGGGACCAAACTACTGCTTGAAAGATCTCGAAAATTTATGCGGATTCAAAATAAAAATCGTTGCGATCGGATACCCGAGTGCAAAGTTATGTTCGTTTGAAATTTCGGCCGAGGTTAGGAGTTGATCGGAAAAAAAAAATTGGACCAAACCGCTGGGTGGGACAGCGGTTTTGGACCAAACCGCTGGGTGGGACAGCGGTTTTGGACCAAACCGCCGCCACCCCGAGCGGTTTTCAAAATTGCCCCGTAACCAAGCGGTTTTCATCGAAAATCGCGCCCCCACCTATTAGTTTTCGTATAAACCACGGGGTAGGGTGACGATTTTTGAGAAAGGGTGCTATTTTTGAAAATTTTCGGTACTAGGTGCTATTTTTTAATTTTTTTAAAACAGTGTTATTTCTGAAAAAAAAAATCCATCTTTTACTCTATTAAGACTAACTCCAACCCAAGGATACAAATTTGGAGAAAGTGATGTTTTTCCACTTTTTCCTCTCCAACCCACCTAAAAATTGGCTTGCAAATTTGGAGAAATGGGCTTGAGAGTGAATAGATGGCAGCTGAAATGGAGGGATGGGCAAAAATGCAATGAGAATGTGGGGGACCCTGCGGTAGCCAAGCCCACACGCAGGGGGCACGGTGGGGCCCTCCACTTTCCAGCTGCTGTTTTTTTTTTTTTTTATTTCTTCATTTTTGATTGGCTAGTTTTGAGTTGGGAAGGCAGGTTTAGGGTTGGAGAAAAAAATGTTTTTGGGAGGTAAAAATGTACATTTAAGAGATTGAGGGGCTAACTATAGCTCCTCCCCCAGACCATCATCATATCTCCTCCCTAGTCGACGTGAATCGACGGATCTTCCCTCTACTAAGTCCACGAACCAGCTCCTCCTCCCCCCGACCATCATCATATCTCCTCCCTAGTCGACGCGAATCGTCGGATCTTCCCTCTCCAGTGAAATATATTGAACTACACCGCCGCCCCAGCTCGTAAATCAAATTCCACCCTCTTCACCGGAGCTCAAGTCCCGCCGACGCAGCGAATTCACCACCAGCGCAGTAGCTAATCGCATATGAGATAATCCCCTCTTTGTCTGAAGGATTTTTCCAACAGCGAATTCTCCAGCAGCACAGCGCAGATGGAGCCAAACATGGCGATGGTACAGAACTCTCTTCACACTTCTTTCTGTTCTCCCTTCTTCCTCTTCCTCCCTTCTGCTTCTAATCTTCCTCTTCCACTTCCTCTTCTGCTTCTCTTCTCCTACTCTATTCTCACTCCATTCAGTTGATTGTCTCAGCTAGCAAGGTTGATGCCGAGTCACACCAGTTAACGGCGAGATTCGATGGGTTTGACAGCCGATTTGATGAATTATTGCAGCGATTGGATGACTTGAAGCAACTACGGTCATCGGAGGGGGGTTGGCGGTGCGGTAGGCGAGTCGATGAGTTGGAATGATGGCGTGGGCGCTTTTCAGCCGTCCTCTGTGCATAAGTAATCTAAGCAGGAGAATTGTTTCCTACCGGAGGCGGAGATTTTCCAGTGGTTGACGACAAATCAACGAGTCAAGGGAGTCTCCCGTCGACCCGTGTTGAATTGGTGTGAGTTTGCTGAAGGGGGTGTGCCAGCGGTTTTTTTTTTATGAGGATGATGAACTTTGATTAAAGAAAAGGGAAAAGGATAAGCAACACTTCACAAACAGTGAAAGTGAGCGAAGTTCTGGACCGAGCAAGGTCAAAGAAAAGAAAACAAGAAAACAATATAGACAGAAGGAAAAGCAACAACCACAATGTCGCACAGAGGACCACATAGAAGCCTCCACATCAGGACACGCAAGCAATGAGCGCAAAGCATCGCAACCAGCGAGAGCCCCAAAACACAGCAAACCGACACTGACATGAAAGCATCACAGCCAAGAAGATCCCAAGGTCAGACTAGGAAGTCCAAGACCTCAGCCAATTTTTACCCTGCTCCTTATCGATTTTGCCACGAATCATACTCCAATCAATGACAGTCCTCGCAACCCTGAGAGAGGTAACGTTGGGGCTGCATTGATCTTGTTGGAAGACCCTATGATTCCTTTCATTCCATACAATCCAGCATACAACATGTATCAAGCAGCTCAAAATGCAATCGATGAAGTTGTTCTTATCACATCTCGGCCAGCTACTCATGACCTCTGAAATATCGCCGGTAGGGTTAATGGTTCTACCCATAAGCTTGGACACCTCTTTCCGCACGGTATTGACAAAGGAACATTCCATGAAAATGTGGTTGATAGACTCCTCTTCATCGCAACACAGGGCACACCTGTTTGCGAGAGCAATTCCTCTCTTCAGATTGTCAATAGTCAGAATCTGCTTGTGCCACACGAGCCAAAGGAAATCACACACACTTTCGGAGGAACAACACTGTTCCACACAACTTCAGTAGGGAAACCTTCAACCCCAGGAAACCGATTCTCCACCTGCATTTTATACATAGAGCTCACAGAGAAAACTTCACTATGATTAGGTAACCACACAGCACGACCAAGACCATTCAGAATCCTATTAGTATTAGAGGAAAGTTTATCAAAGAAAGCAAGACTCTCTCTCTCAGCCCCACCCCGCAAGTTAACAGAGAAAGGAATTTCCCACACGATGTTCTCACCTTGCCAGTTCAAAGCTTCAGATATTAGGGCATTTGGATGCTCAAATGTTGGTGGTGTAGTCGATGAGGCCCTGCAGTCTTACAAGGCATTTTATGTTGTTTGTTCTAGGGAAAGTGGCAGCTACTGAAGCCACAGAAAATGGGAACGAATCCAAGTCAGTTAAAGTTTCTGACGGTTCTTTGGTGGCTCCATGTGAAAAGCTACTTCCTGTTTCTAAATTACACACCACTACAGAGGAGACGACTGATTATGTAGCATCATGAACTAGCCAAGCATCCAATCAGCATCTAACACTGGGGCGACCTATTACTGACCATGTTATGGTTCAGAAAGCATCTTCTGAAGAGCCTGGCACTAGAATGTCTGAGTATGGAGGGAAACCTCCGACTGGCTTACTGCAACCACTAACAAACATCGGGAACTGAGGCATTGAAGGATCGTTACTCTGATCCCATGAGCCTAAAACTAGAAAAAGTTTCAGAAGTCGTTGAAAAGTCTGATGTGGAAGGAACATCGAAGGGTTTCAAGAGGTTGATGGTGGTATGTGGGTATGTCAATGGATGAGATTCTCAGATAATATCATAAGCTATGACGTGTGTGTAAGTGATGATGGTTTGAAAATTATATATGGTTCACAATAAAATGGATTATTTTGTTTTGTTATGTTATGTTTACTTTGTTTCATTTTGCTTGAACAACCCGTTGGCAATTATGAACAAACTAGAATTAATGCCCATGGCTACGTCACAGGACGTGTTTGGAAATGTGTAGTATTTTTTTAGAGACAGATAGTTATATACACCAACTACATTCAATCATTCATACAAAACATAAGTCAAGATATGAACTATGTCTTTCTTTAAACTCAGGAAAATCTTATGCATTTAGTCCACTCATCAAATTATAAACTTAGACCAGAGATAATAAATTTTTACGAATTGGTTGAATATAATACCACACAAAATATAGGTTATTTCATAATTATTTTATTTTTAGACACACTTGATCGGAATGAAACACAAAATGGTGTAAATAGAATGGAGGTGGAGGGAACAAAACAAACCCAACCTCAAACAAAAACCAACCTGACATCCTAATTTGTTGAATCATGATAAGTATATATAAATTGCAAGAATATTAGGGGTACTGCACAGTGGCTGTGGTAAGCTGATCATAAGCAGGGCTGAAATTCTGACCCTTAAAACCCGGCGACTCGTCCCGTCCCATTCCGTCCCGAAGGGTCGGGCCGGGTCAATTTGCATAGAGGGACAAGTTCGGGACGGGGTTTCCTCTTAACCCTATAAGGGACGGGTCAAACTACACTCAGACCCTAAAAACCCCACCTGGCCCTGTGACCCGGAAAACAGACCCGTAGAAATTAAAGAATAGTGGGACAAGTTCGGGACGGGTCTTCTCCTTCTTCATTCTTCTCGCCTCGATTCTCACTTCTCAATTCTCATCGACTGAAAGAAAACCTACACCCTAAAATCTCAATCGATTCTCGACGACTTCCATCCAGGCGTCCAGCCCAATCATCGCGCTTCCTCGTCGGCGGCGCGGTAGGAGAATTCCTTCACCGCTTCACGATACCTCTTCTCCATTCTTCTCATCGACTGAAAGGGAAACCTACATCCTAAAATCTCCACCGATTCTCGGCGACTTCCATCCGGGCATCCTGCCTAGTTGTCGTGCTTCCTCGTCGGCGGCGCGGTTGGAGAATCCCTTCACGATACCTCGTCGCCACCAGGACCTTGGAGAAGAAGTTGTTGGTCGAAAATCTGGATCAATTATAGGTATGTTTCTTCGGTTTCCTTCTTTCATTGTCTCTGTTTCAGCCCCAAGATTGGTGGTCTTGTTTGTGGTTATGGTCTTGTTTGTGGTTATGTTTCAGCCCCAAGATTGGTGGTCTTGTTTGCATTTTGGTCTATCTTCCTTTGTCTTTGAGGAAAGTCCTTTGTTTCTATGTTTACTTGTTTGTGGTTATGGTTCTGACTATGGATATCTTACTCCATCTTTTAGGAATTTGATGATGCTCTTGATTTATTCTCTTGCACTATATCTCTAAGAGCTGCGACTCTTTCTATTTCTCTACCTATCACTATGTTGCTTACTACAAGAGTTGTGGCTCTGTCTTTTATATATTTCTCTCTGCTTGCTCTCTCTGCTGTTGGTTCATTGGATGGTAAAAGTAGAGGTGACGATTTTGTTTGGAGGGGAGGAAGATAACATAGAACAGTCCAGGAATCTATCTTCTTATCTTCCATTGTTCCTCTGTTCCTCTTGCTTTGTTTCTTGTCTTCCACTGAGTGATTCTTATCTACCCCTTGCGTCAGTCTTTTGTCGATGCTTGCAAGTGCAATGAGGTGACAAAGTTTCATTATAAAGTTTGTGATTTCTACTGGTTGTGTCGATGCAATGATTCAGATTTATGATTTGCCCATTTCTGTAAGATCTGATAGCTAATGGTGTTGCTGCTGTGGTGTACATACTACTGTTCCTCTCTCCTGCAGTATCAAACTTTGGAATTTAGAGGGAATATGTGTGGTATTGATTTAGTTGGGTTCAAGGCTGATTAAGTATGATAGTGTTATTTGAGTAGAGGGGAAAACACAGTAGTCCTTAGTGGATGCTGTTGCCTTGTTAGTTAGGGTAGAAAGGTTGGGTTTGAAGGTGGCAAGAATGTTTATGTCAACAATGGTGGCTGGTGGGAGGGCTAGAAGAAGAGGGGGAGTTTTTGAAGTCATTATGTTTTTGTTGTAATCTTCTGTACATATGTAATCTGAATCTTGCCTGTCTGTCTGTCTGTCTCCATTCAAAATGAAGACAATTTGTTGGATGCATTGGGTCTCAAGTTTGTGGGAAAGCAATCAACTGTTAAGCCAATTGTAGTAATTGAAAAGCCGGTTGTAATAGTAACACTACACTAGTGGCATCTTTATCATCCATCCCTGCCTTGTTCTGTCTTCCTTTTTGTTTGTTGGAGGATGTTATTTCTGAGAAAGTACTCTCATTTTTGGCCACTGCGAAGCAGCTGACAGTGTTTGAGCTCAGAAAGATAAGAGATTGAAAGAGAAAGGGAATAAATGGGAGGCAGCAGTTGTATGTATTTGGTCTGCGTCGATCCTGTGGCTGTGAATGATCCAACAAAGTCAAGCATGATTGGAGCGCAGGCTATTGTGTTAAAAACACATATTTTGTGATTATCTTTTTGTGGGATGTGTCGTAGTCATTAGTCAATGACTTTTGATAATATTGAATGCTTAATTAATGAGTAGTAGTATGATAGTGTTATTTTGCTTTTTCAATCTTTTAGTTTATGATGCTTGGTTTCCTTATGTTATTGAATACTACAGCTCAGGGTACTTGTAAGAATGATCATTATTGACGAGTCACCTTTTAGGCAAGTTGAGCATGAAGGCTTCCGTGACTTTGTCCATTCGCTAAAACCTGAGTTTCACATCCCTTCTAGGATCACCATAGCCAAAGACTGTTTTAAGTTGTTTTTGGCTGAGAAGGAGAAGTTGAAAAATTACTTCAAGCAGTCACAGATTAGAGTTTGCCTGACAACCGATATATGGGCAAATAGACATCATTTGGACTACATGAGTCTAACTGCTCATTTCATTGATAATGAATGGAAAATGCAGAAAAGAATTATCAACTTCTCTCATATTCCTAATCACACGGGTCTCACGATTGGAAAAACGGTTGAAAAACACATGCTTAATTGGGGAATTGATAGGGTTCTAACCGTGACAGTCGATAATGCAAGTTCGAATGATGTGGGCATGACATATTTGAAGAAGAGGATTAAAAATTGGAAGGGGAGTGTGTTGAAGGGAATACATCTTCACATGAGATGTTGTGCTCACATATTGAGCTTGACTGTGAAAGATGGATTGAAAGATGGATTGAAAGATGTTGATGATTCAATCCATCGTATTCGGTCCGCTGTGAGATATGTGAGGTCATCAAACTCCCGAATGCATAGATTTAAGACTTGTGCCCATGAGGAGAAGTTGGAGACCAAGAAACTGGTGTGTTTAGATGTGGAGACTAGATGGAATTCCACTTTCTTGATGTTGGAGTCCGCTTTGGTATTTAAAAGGGCATTTGAGAGGTTAGAGGAAGAAGATGATAAGTATAAAGTTGAGCTAGAGAAATTGAAAGGGACACCAAATGAGTTGGATTGGCATTATGTGGAGTCTCTAGTTCATTTTCTGAAGATTTTCTATGATGCTACACTGAAAGTTTCGGGTTCTTTGTATGTCACAAGTAATGATCTCTTTCATGTCATATATGGAATTGCTTGTAAGCTTACAAAGGAAACTTCATCAAAAATTGAGAGTCATAAATCCATGGCAAGAAGAATGAAAGCTAAGCATGATAAGTATTGGGGCTCCTTTGATAACATCAACCCTTTGCTGTTTATTGCTGTGGTTCTTGACCCGAGGTACAAGTTGGAGTATGTTTGTTTTGTGCTTGATGAGGTTTATGGGATAGAACATGGGGGAATTTGGACTAAAGATGAGTTGTTTGAGAGTGTGAAGGGATTTTTGGAGGTTATGTTTAATGACTATTCGGAAATGAGAGGGGTTACTTGTGAAAGCTCATCAAGAAGTGTGGGGAGTGCAACACCAAATGAGAATGATGGATCTGAAAGTGTGGAAGATTATTTGAAGAAAAAATTCAACAGAAAGAGAATGGAAGATAGGGTGGGAGAAACTACACTTTCGGAGCTTGGTAGGTACTTAAAGGCGAATCTTGAGGATGATGAGGACATAACTTTTAACATTTTAGCATGGTGGAAGAAGCATTCTAGTGAGTATCCAATACTGAGCTTGATGGCTAGAGATGTGTTGGCGATTCCAGTATCCACTGTTGCATCTGAGTCTGTTTTCAGTACCAGGGGGCGCGTTTTAGATGCATTTCGGAGTTCTTTGACTCCCTTGGTTGTTGAAAGTTTAATTTGTGGTCAAAATTGGCTTTGATCGAGTACTCTTCCAATCGACATGGAAGAGAATTTTGAAGAAATCGAAGAACTTGAACAAGGTATGAAAAGTAATTTGTTTGTAACACTCACTATTTTATTTAGATCATTATTAATTTATTTGATGTGTTGTTAATTTTGCAGAGTTGAAAGAGTCTTGCTTGGATGATTGCACTATCATGAGTGATTTAGTTGATGATGATTGAAGAATGATGTATTGTGTAATCATGATCTGATGTCATTGATGATTATCTAACAATGATGTATTGTGTGATCATGAGTATGATGTACTTGATTATTATCGAACAATGATGTCATTGATGATTATCTAACAATTGATGTCATTTCATCCTTTCATCAACCACATATATTATGGGAGTTTGGTAAATAATTTGGTAAATAAATAATTTTCTGGAATTAATTGGGTAAATAAATAATTTTCTAAAATTATTTTGGCAATTGATTAATTTTCTGGAATTAATTGGGTAAATAAATAATTTTCTGGAATTATTTTGACAATTGATTAATATTTTGGAATTATGTTGGTGATTGATTAAAGTTTTGGAATTATTTTGGTGATTAATTAATTTGATGAATAGATATTTTTATGAACAGAAATTCGTAAATAAAATGATTTTTTGAAATTAATTTCGTAATTGATTAATTTTCTGAAATAATTTCATAAATAAATTATTTATTAATTAATTAATTTACTGGAATTAATTTGATAAATAAATGATTTTCTGGAATAAATTGAGTAAATAAATAATTTTCTGGAATTATTTTGACAAGTGATTAATATTTTTGAATTATTTTGGTGATTGATTAAATTTTTGGAATTATTTTGGTAATTAATTAAATTTTTTTAAATTAATTTGATGAAAAAATAATTTTCTGAACTGAAATTCGTAAATAAAATTATTTTTTGAAATTAATTTCGTAATTGATTAATTTTCTGAAATAATTTCTGAAATAAATTATTTTATGAATTAATTAATTTTCTGTTTTTTTATAATTTGGTATTTAATTTTGTGTTGGAGAGGGTCGACCCGCTGACCCGGCCCGTCCCGACCCTAAAGGGTCAGACAGGGTCAAGAAGAGAACAGGGACGAGACGGGTCGATTATGCAAGCTGGACCTTTAGGCACGGGACAGGGACGGGGCAGGCAAATTTTCAGCCCTAAATTCATAAGTCCATCCAACTATAAGAAATAGAAACTGGCCCAACCTTCTAAGATTACATTGAAGCCTATATTTTTAGGTAAATCTAATGCATTTAATCTACTCATCAATTCATTAGATTCTTAAGTTCCACACGGAGACCGCTCAGAGAAAATATATTCATACAAATAAAATCATTAGTATCACATGTTACAATCAATCCATACCCATCAACGCAAATGCTCATACTTTGGTAATGTAATGGCAGCCAACCAATCCTTTGCCATTTCTTTCGCCCTTCATTGCTGGTAGCAGGCATTGGGTAATTAATTGTTCTGCCAACTTTCCCACATAATATCCTTGCATTCCTCTAGAGTCATATTGACCAGTAGATTGCATCGACACCCTTTGGTTCATATTGGAGTAGAAAGAAACTGGTGGGAGCATCCTCTATCTTCGTCCACTACAATATTCAGCTCCGCACACCACCTCCTCTACAGTCAGGTGCAATCCACCCTAGATGTTTGTACACTCCCAATCAGCCATGGCTACAAATCTCTTTGCTTCTTCTCGTGTCAGCCAAATTCCTATATTCTGACATAGAAGACAAAAATCCAATGAGGACAGTTGACCAAGTGTTTGATATTTAATTCATACTTCTTATACCCTATTCATTGTACCAACTGTATTCAAGACTCTTAGTTCCTTTAATATGCAGAGTGTTTGATATTTGGTTAATACTTCTTATCCATGTTCATGATACGTTGAGATAAACAATAGGTACCTGCTTATGAGTGAATGACAGTTGGGAGAACTGGAGAGTCTCTACCAAGAGTTCATGAATAGGAATTAAGGAACAAAGACCTGAGATGTTTCTAATTTGAATTAAAAAAAAAAAAAATCAGAATGCAGCTCGGACTGATACATATCGTATAGAGTTCAGTTGAAATTATTATGAACTTCAAATGTTAGTATTCGAAGTTCAGCATGTGCAGGGAGAAGCTGCTACAAAAGCATGAAACAAAACTTAGTTCAGAACATTGAATGGGAAATTAGAATTCAGAGATCTATGGTCTCCAACAAAATGAAAGACAACATGAACGATTCTGCCATCACGGGCTGGTTCGACCACAGCTCTGCAACGCAGTAGCATAAGATGAAACAAATACATTTATATATAGCATTAAAAAAATGAGGTGGCATACCAATAAGTTGGTCAAGTCCATGTGACTAAAGCCTCTAGCTTTTTTTGAAGAGCCTATCAATAATTGGAAAAGCACTCAGCAGCAAGCATATTATCCATCATCCGGGCACAAAACGAATTGGGAAAAATATGTATGATCGCCATTTTCTGAGACCAAAAGCTTGTTTGCTGAGCTCTCATAATTCCTTGCCGCCAGGAGGACGTCTTTGATAATGAACCGATCCTCCTTTTTGTCTCCTGTGAGACCTAAACTGCAAATTTCCAAAAAGAAATCATATTGAAAGAATAACCCCTAAAATAATTAAACAAACAGAAGAAATAACAGAAAAAAGTAAGTAATTCGATCCTATTATTATACACGAAGTAGTTAACGCGAATAGAGATTTCAGGAAAGATGGCGTATAGAGTTCAGATTCCACCATGCTGTTCTGATCTTCATGTGCCAACTTCAGGCTGACCAAAAGAATCAGTAATAGACAAGGCAAAGTTCAGGTTGAGACAAAGTGTGAATAGTTAAAATAAGAGCTCAAGTGAAAAATGACATGAATCAGCCCTTCCAAAGATAATCACATCCACAGGGCGCAAGATACAGAAACAGAAGTGTAGTACCACTGCAAAATAAATAGTAACGAATTCACAATCTCTGTAAGTTAGGAAGTTTTTAAGTTAATAACATGGTCGTGTAAGGTCTATTATGGTTGATTTGCTATACTAATTGCCTTAGAAAATAAATTATGAAGGACAAATCTGTCCAATCTGATGTTTGCACAAATTTATCTATGTTTGAATTGTTATTGTCGGATCGGATGGAATGATGAAAAGCTAGGTACATCCCCTGTAACAACAGAAATTGAGCTCTTAAGACATTAAAATAAGCACAAATGACTTTCATATCACAACAGCTCACCTTCTGATTGCGTGCTGTTGTGATATGAAAGTCCGAGTTTCTTTTCCAGTACAAAGATGAACCATCTGTGAACCGGAAACAAAGGGAAGATGAACCATCTGTGAACCGGAAACAAAGGGAAGATGAATGTAGAAGAGGCGAAAAGAGACAAAATAATGTACAGTAACATTGTATTATTTAGGGGTGGAAATTTGGGTTGCGGGTTGTGGATAATCCACAAACCGCACCAACCCGCATCTATTGTGGGTAGTAAAATAACGATTTTTGTGGTTAGTGGTTATCCACTACCCACCGCGGTTAACCCACAAAATCCACAATAACCACACTAATTATATTTATTTAGTGAATTAACTTTATAATATAATACTATGTGAAAAGTGCGAGGATAAAATTTAAAGTAGCCACAAAATAAAAAAGACACACCTAATCAGTTTTATGTAAGAATTTTTTAGTATATAAAACACTATAATCGATAGAGTGGAGAATAATTAATTCATTAAAAGTCAACACTTTTTGTAACTTTTATCAGTATGTTTTTGTTTTTGAGTGAAAAAAATACAAGATCATATTTCATTGTCATATTTCACCCCTAGTCGGGAAAATATGAAATCGCAGCTCTCTGACACAAAAGTTGAATACCAAACTCAAAAAGAAAAAATCTCCACGTTGAGTAAGATCGATGTACAAAATTGTATCTCCACGAGCAACAGAAGTGTATACCACTATAGTCTAATTACAAACAACAAATACGTTAGTGGCGACTAGAACTCTTTACTTGCAAAATATAGATTTTTGCGGGTAACCACACCCAACCCGCACAAACCCACAGTGGATAGTGGTTATCCACTAACCACTGCGGTGCGGGTTGATGGTAGCATACTTGTAAATTTGTGGGTGTGGTACCCGCAAAATGTGGGGCGGGTAACCACACCACCGCAATTTCCACCCCTAGCATTATTGGTCAATAAAGTGTACCCACCTTTTAAAGAATAAAGAATGAAGCTGACTGTGGATTTGGTGGGTGGTCAGCAGAATGCTAAGATAGAGAAAATCGCTCTCATAGACAGTCGATGCCATGGAACGACATGATCCTCAAAGACATGTTAATTTTGTTGAACTAGTTAATTTTGTGTGTTGAGAATTGAACTTTATAATCTGTTGGATTATTGGATTAACATTGGTGTGAAATAAAAGACTAACAACCTTATCAAAACGCTGAGTTTGTTTATTTTGTTGCCTAGTGGCTGGCTTATAAGACTTTGAATCTAGTGTTAATAGAACTTATACAGAAGCTGCCTGCGACACCGAAAATAATTAACAAGATACAGTCAGGGGTGCTGGTTCTGTTTGAGTTCGGGTGCCAGCCACTGTTTCTTTTGGTTTCCAAATGCAAATCTTCTGGACTCAAACAGCAAAATGAAATGCCATATAATTAGCAGAGACAACAGACCACAGGTTGTGCCCACTCCCAACCAAAGCCCGAGCTTAATCCAAAGATCACACAGTGTGGCAATTTGGCGCAGGAGCGCTAGGTTTCGTACCATAGCGAGTTAGTCCAAAGATCACCGTGCAGTAGAGAAAAGGAAGCTACTATACCCTAATCGGATCCTCTAAAATCACATCAATGGAGCCTCCCATGTCCCAAAAGAGAAACCCCCATCATTTGCTCAACATTCTGTGCATCACTACCGCAAGCTTTCAACAATCGAGGTAACATCAACTGGGCGAATGAAGTAAATACTAAATACTATGGGTAGAAGTTGCTGCAAAAACAGAGCATTCAGATAAGCTCATGGAAATCATGTCAGATCCCACCAACAGAGACGCTAATGGGGACGGAAAATTTCTCCGATTTTGAGAAAAATCAAAGTGCACGCATAATACGAAATTGACACAACGAATTTACGTGGTTCAGCCTCACAGTGTGTGAGACCT